CTTATTATTGTGTATTTTAAGTTCACACTAACCTCTTATAAAATTAAGTATAACAATGATTTAGTTTTTGATATGTCAGTGCTTTAGGAATTTTGGGGGAGAAACTACTGAAATTGTCTCTTAAATAAAGAGACTGATCTCTAGAAGACTTAGGCTACAAGTTTGACTCTCTAGTCCTGAAGTTAGCCAGTAAGAAAACAGTACAAACTGCAAGAAATCTTTTTGTTTGTTTTTAGTTATGGTTGTTGCAGAAGCAACATACACAGTAGACAGAATTGTCAGTTTGCATGAGACAAAAAGAGTTTCTTTTGTTGTTTGTTGTAATCTGAAAAGGCCAAATTTCCTCAAAGCCAGAATAAGTGGTAGGTGACAAACCAGACTGGAGAGAGAGGACAAGTGCTTATCAGCAGTGATTGTTAGGAGCTACAGAGGCAATAGCAGTAAAAAGCAGAGTGATTTTTTTAACTAGACTGACAAGAGTCTCTTCGCAATCTTGGTGAAGAAGTAGCTCTTGGGGCACCTGGGTGGCTCAGTCGTTAAGCGTCTGCCTTCGGCTCAGGTCATGATGCCAGGGTCCTGGGATCGAGCCCTGCATCGGGCTCCCTTGCTCGGTGGGGAGTCTGCTTCTCCCTCTCCCACTCCCGCTGCTTGTGTTCCCTCTCTTGCTGTGTCTGTCTCTGTCAAATAAATAAATAAAATCTTAAAAAAAAAATAGATCTTAAATATACAGTAATGAGAATTCCTTGTCCAAACCCAAAGAACAGTGAGGACCAAACTCTCAAAGATTAATCTTCTGTATGCAACATATTTTAGATGTCACCTTGAAGAAAGGGTATATTAGTGGTGGGTAATATTTTTTTTACTATTTTTCTGCCTCCTAGAATTAACTAATGAATTCAATAATTGATTAAAAAATGGTTCTTTTTTTAAGATTTTATTTATTTATTAGACAGAGCAAGTACAAGTCGGGGGAGCGGCAGAGGGAAAGGGAGAAGCAGACTCCCCATTGAGCAGAGAGCCCAATGTGGGGCTTGATCCGAAGACCCTGGCATCATGACGTGAGCTGAAGGCAGACGCTTAACCGGTTGAGTCACTCAGGCGCCTGTTCGTTTCTTTTTTTTAAATGGTTGTGTTTCTATTGCCGTGTGTTAGATACTATATTTGTTTTATTGAATCAAATGTGGTCCTGTATATTTTTTAGAGTATAAAGTGTTAAAGATGGTAATGTATTCTTCAAGTTTTGTGCAATTTTTGATCTTGCATTAATGCCAAATGTGTACTTTTAAAGTTGCTGATACCTGAAATTCTACTGAAGTTAAAAATTAAGGACTTTTCAGAACAGCTAGCAAGGAAGCTATCAAAGATTAGTACTAGGATAGTGTCAAAAGAATGCAGGAGTCAATTTGAAGAGACCCTTCTGGCCAAAAATGGGACAGATTGACCATTAATCAAAATGACTAAAATGGGTTGAAATATATCAAAGAATGTTTAAATCTATGAAATAATGATACAAATTAATGTGTCACTACTTCAGGATGGTAGGTAGTGAGCTCATTATTTTGAGAACTGGTAAATAAGGAGAGAATTTAGCCTGATTTTCCTATATGAACTATACTGCTGAGTAACCAAAGAAATGTGGGGAATTTTCTCTTTGTGAAGTATTCTGACAAATGAAGAAGTGGTAAAATTTGAATATCACCATTTTATAACCACCTAATGGATAAATGGTTCTGGGCACTGAACAGCAGCAGACACTACACAAATAAAGAGACAACCAAATATTATGTGGTTCCTGATGAAACAACTTAACACTGCCCTTTTTTTTTTTTTAAAGTAGACTCTATGCCCAACATGAGGCTTAAACTCATGACCGTGAGATCAAGAGTTGCTAGCTATACCACCTGAGCCAGGCAGGCATCCCAGGACTCATCACTGCTTAGTAAGTAGAGTTGTTCTAATAAAAAGAGTCAGAATTTAGATAAAACCTGTATATCCATTGATTTATAGAACATACAGAAGAACAGGTTAAACAACACCATGGGAATTAAGTCAGCAAAATTCAGATTGGAAAACTACCAGGACAAAAATTTAGGGCAAACAACTTGGTTTCTTCAATTTAAAATTGGCTCTTAAAAAAAGACGTCCTAGGAGCACCTGGGTGGCTCAGCTAGTGATGTGTCTGACTCTTCTTCTTAGCTCAGGTCTTGATCTCAGGGTTGTGGGTTCAGGCCCTGCTTTGGGCTCTGCACTGGGCATGGAGCCTACCTTAAAAAAAAAAAAATACATCCTGTGGCTTACAGGAGACTTAAAAGACATCTCAGTCAACAATAGTATATGGATCTTATTAGGATCTGTTCACACACACAAAAGTTCTAACACTTGTAAACAGTTGGAAATTGAGGCTATTTGATGATATAAGGCATTGTTTATTTTTTTATAATGGTGGTTTGCCTGTGTTTTAAAAAGTTCTTGTCTCCTAGAATACATACTGAAAAATTTATGAACTAAATTATGTCTGAGGGGTGCCTAGGTGGCTTATTCCATTAAGCAGCTGCCTTTGACTCAGGTCATGATCTCAGGGTCCTGGGATCGAGCCCCATGTCGGGCTGCCTGCTCAGAAGGGAGTCTGTTTCTCCCTCTCCCTCTCTCCCCAGCTTGTACACTCTTTCTCAAATAAATAAAATCTTTATAAATAAATAAATTAAAAAATTAACTATCTGAGTTTTGCATCAAATTAACATGGAAGTAAGGAAGTATTGGTGCAGGTAGAGATGAGGACTCGGTTCACCATGAGTTGATAATTGCTGAAGGTGGGCAATGAGTACCTGGAAATTTATTGTACTTTTTTCCTACCTTTGCATATGTTTGAAATTTAATGTTTGAAAAACTAAGGAGAACCTTGAAAAAAAATCTAGGATCAAGTCATGGAAATACTATCTTCTGAGGAAGGATTTTTAGACTGTGGAGTAGGGAAGTCCAGGTGGCTCAGTCAGTGAAGCATCTGCCTTCAGCTCAGGTCATGATCCCAGGGCCCTGGGATCGAGTCCCGCATCGGGCTCCCTGCTCAGTGGGGAACCTGCTCCTCCCTCTGCCTGCCGCTTCCCCTGCTTGTGCTCTCTCTCACTCTCTCTGACAAATAAATAAAATCTTAAAAAAAAAAAAAAAAAGACTGTGGAGTAGTCTCTCTTTAAACGCTTTAGCACATGGGTGAAAAAAAAGCATTGGTGGCATATTGGCTTTGTTAGGTAATAATCACAAAAGATACTTTGAATAGGACTGACAGGTCAGAACACCAGTAGCCATGGTAAACAAGATGCTTTTCTGGAGGGTGAGTTTCTTAGGAAAATTTGCTTTAATCCTTGCGTCACTGATTTGGCTAGTAGGCTACAGATTTTAACGTGCAAGGAGGTACATTGTTATATTTGCTCTACTTTAGAGTAAGAGTAAGCCTTTAAAACATAGGGGCAAATGACCAAAAACATACTGGGCCTTCAACAATTATTTGCCAAATAAGTGAAACAGTAAGTTGACATCAAGAAGTTTTTCAAAAGTTCCAAGCCTGAAGCTTGAGTGAGTATTTATACTGCCTTATATTCCTCATGCTTTTCGAATTATCTTTGACATTCACGATAACTTATGTTCCTGATGAATTCTCCGAGTCATTAAGAAAAGATTTATTTTTCTTGATTTCAGAAGGCGTGTATCTGCACAGGTACATACATGAGTTAACATTTTGGGAAGATCATTATTAAACAAAAGTTTCACCCTTGGGGTGCCTGGCTGGTTCAGTAGGTAAAGCATGTGACTCTTGATCTCAGGGTTGTGAGTTCAATCCCCAAGTTGGGTGTAGCGATTACTTAGGGAAAAAAAGGAAAGAAAGGTTTCAGCCCTTAAATGCTTAACTCTCCACTCTCAGGAAAAACTTGACTATCTCTAATGGTATAACTTCATTATTTCACCTAACACTTTAAAAATTATGTAAATTATTTACAAGGTGTTCAAGGTCTTGTACTTATAGTAAAAAAAAAGAAAGAGGGTCACATGAGAGTAGAGACAGACAGATTTAGTTTTCTGCCACTTCAGTGCAAATATGGAATATATTTTTCTTCAGTATTTCAGCCCTCCAAGGCCCACTGTCAACCAGATGCAGCAGCTGAAGTGCTTTGTAATTAGTCTTCTATTCTTCCCTCAATTAGAATTCCTATATACCGAGGAATCTCACCAAATGTTGATCTAATTATCTGATTAAAAAAAATCAGTGACAGTATGAATGACTGATTAATATAATTCACTTATTGATTGTGAAATGAAAGAGGAATAAATCTCTAGCCAGCAGAAGGATACAGGGTAATTTTGAATAGGAAGCCCTCCTTACCTCCCCCCTCTCTGAGTTCTCTATTCTGCAAAATTTTTTTAACATGGAACCAGCATACAAAATAAAAAGTATCTATTATATGTCAGAGATGTTTCAGAAGAGGTGAATAAGAAGTCTTATCTGATTTTACATATTTTAAAAGTTTCCAGGGGGCGCCTGGGTGGGCTAAGTGGATTAAACATCTGATTTTGGCTTAGGTCATGGTCTCAGGGTCCTGGGATTGAGCCCTGGATCAGGCTGCAGGAGGAATCTGCTTGTCCCTCTGCCCCTCCCTCTGCTCTTGCTTGCACGTGCTGTCTCTCTCTCTCTCTCTTGTTCTCTCAAATAAATAAATGAATAAAATCTTTAAAAAAAGACAAAAAATAAAAGATTGCCATGTAAATAAATTTACAATTTAGAGAATAGGAATATTATCATTATTTTTTCTTTACAAAATGTAGTCCCCATACACCTATGGGTCAATGAAAACCTCCATAGAGAGGGTGGATTAGCATGTTCATTAGAGTATTTAGCAGAATGAAAGTTTTATTGTTTTTCTGTAAAATTATTCTCTTTCATAGTGGGTATGTTTTATTGGGTATAAAATCTTTGTTGTGAGTTTGAAATTAATTTTTTTTTCTTGTAGAATGGCAGAATTTAGTGACATTGGGAAGCTTTTCAAACATGGTTCACTGTAGTCACCCATATATTTGTACACTGAGTCAAGTGAAGTCATATTCCACAAATGTACAGAAAGAAGGACAGGGATCACAGACTCTCAGAGTGGAAAAAGTACCATCATTTGATGAAACAGGTGTGTATAAATCTTTTAAAATAATTTTTTTTCTGTATACTGAATTAGCTTGTGTAAGATTATTTGTCCCTTGAATGTTCATTAGAACTTATGTACAAAACTATCTAAATTAGTGTTTACTTTGTGGAAAGCTATTAAACTGCTAATTTAATTTTTTTGCTTTTGACTCAATTTTGGTAAGTTTTTTTTTTCTGGGAGTTTGTTCACTTAAACTAAATTTTTAATTTATTGGCATCAAGTTCATAATAGTTTCTGTATACTCTTAGCAGCATATATAGTTATATCTTTTTTTTCCCATTCTTTAAGATGTTTGTCATTTTCTTGATTAATCTTGCCAGAGCTCTGTCCATTTTCTTATTTTTCCAAGTAATATCTTTTTACATTGAACATTTATATTGTATGTTTGTTTCCTGTTTCGTTAATTTTTATTCTTACCTTAATTATATCCTCTTGCTTTCTTTGTGTTTATTCTGTCATTCATTTTTAAATTATCAGGTAGCAGTTTTGTTCATTAATTCTGAACCTTCTTTCTCTTCTAAAGTAGGCATTTAAGCCATGATAGCTCTGATGGATTTGACAATCTTTCCTTTAACAGTTCTTTCTAAAATTTTGCTTTATATATATTTTGAAGCTATGTTATTAGATACATAAACATTTAGAGTTATTACATAACACTGATGAATTACATCCTTTATTTTTATGTAACAACTCTTTTTTTTTTAGTAATATCTCTACCAGATTTTATTAGTATTTTCCTGGTATAAATTTTCCCACCCTCTGACTTTAACCTTTTTTTTTGTCCTGATTTGATAATCTTTGTCTTATTATTGGAAATTTAGTCTGTTTATATTTACTGTTATCACTGATATGTTTGGGCATATTTCTGCCATTGTTTCATGAACTTCCTTGTGGTTTTATTATTTTTGGCATTTTAAAATTTTTTTCTTTTTTCTTTTTCTTTTTTCTCATTGCATTATCCTCTCTCCCCCAAAAGCACACACATACATGCACTTGTTTGGGAGTTATATACTCTATGTACTTCAAAGTCTAAAGGTTATTAAAAAGTTTACATTTTTTTCTGAAAAATATAAAGAAATTAGAATGCTTTAATTCTGGTCACTTTCTCCCAATTTACATGCTATTTATTGGCTAGTATTTTGTGTCTGTTCTGCTCTTTCCCTTCTATACAATATACATTGTTATTTGTTCAGATTTCTCTAAAATCTTTGTTAACCACTTTTTCTTATTTCTCTGGTCTTTCTGTCTGATGTGCATCCTAAGAAAACAAGTCCTTTAGGTGAGGATCTTTTTATGGTCAAGACACATTTAAGATGTTATTCCAGTGTCTTTTGGCTTCTGTTGTTGTTGAAAAGTCACATATCATGCTTTTGTTCTCATGTCTTTTCTATTTTATTGCTTTTTAAATTTGATTAACTTTATTTTGAACATTTTTCTTTGGTGTAAACTCTAATTTTACTATGTATGTATTTCTGCATACTAGGTATGTATTTATCCTGCTTGAGATTTGTTGGGCTTCCAGCATCTGAGGATTAGTTATTCTACAGATCTCTGTCACTCTCTATTACCTTTTCTCAGTTCTCTTTTTTTTTCTTAAGTTTATTTACTTATTTATTTAAAGATTTATTTATTTGAGAGAGAGTGTGAGCAAGCACAGCAGGGAGAGTCAGGAAGAGGGAGAGAGAAACTCAGAGCCTGATGTGGGCTTGATCTCATGACCCTGAGATCATAACTCAGCCAAAACCAAGAGTTGGATGCTTAACCGACTCTACCACCCAGGTGCCCCTTTGCTCATTTATTTTTAAGTAATCTATACACCCAACATGGGGCTCGTGAACTCTCAACCCTGAGATCAGGAGTCACATGCTCCACTGACTGAGCTAGTTCTCAGTTTTCTTTTATCTCCTTTTGGAACTCTAATTAGAATTATGTTAGATCTTTTTGCTTTATTTTCCATGTCTCTAAACCTGTCATATTTTGTATGTCTTTATCTTTGTGGCCCGAATTCTGGATTATTTTCTTAGGTCTGCCTAGTTTACAAATTCCCTTGTTAGTTGGCCTCTGATCTGCTGGTTGATATGTATGTTGGCTTTTTAATTTCAATGATTATATTTTTCATTTCTAGAAATCATTTATTTTTCACCTTGTTCTTTTTTTTCCTTATGTTTTCAAACTCCTGTTTTATTACTTACCATATTAAACATGTCTATTTTATATTCTATAAATGAAAATTCTATCTGAAATTTTTTGGTTCTTACTATATTATCTTTTTCCTCTGTGCACTCATTCATGATGCCATATCTATGTTTTTTAATTGAGAGTTGTTCATTTTCCATGTAGTTTTATATTTTGGAACTATTTGAAGTCCAAAGATTGAAGATGCATTCCTGCATAGCATTTGCTTCTGCTTTTATTAGCTGCTGGGAATACAGCTTAGGACCAAATTAACTTAAATTCTTTGCTCTAGACTTTTTAGACCACTTTGGTAGCATGAATTCAGACTGCAAGCTTGTGTGAGGGCTGACTTAGCCTTATGTTTTTCACCCCCACTATTTAACACCAAAGGAGAGGTTGGCATGCTTTCTTGCTATTCCCTTCTGTGTGTATTTTTTTTTTTTTTTTTTAGTTCACAGCTATACTGTCTGTCTAGCTTTCTTTCTGGGTGTCTCCTGTTAGATGTTCCGTCTCGAATAGAATGTAGTCTTGTTCTCTGGTCTCTCATGCCCCTAGCAGCAATGGAAGTAGAAGCTCAAAGACTATAAACCTCAACAGAAATCTCAGGGGAAAGGTTGGCTTTGGTGTTCTCACTTAGTCTGTAGAGATTCTGCTTTCCTTTTGTTTTTGCCCTCTTTGCATCATTTTTTGTGAGCTTAGCAATGTGTTTGAAAAGATTTTGTTCAGGGTATCTAGTCTGCTGTGCAGCATTAAAATGAAGTCCTTTATTCATTAATTTATTCAAGAAGTATTTATTTTTAAGGATTTTATTTATTCACTTTGGAGGTAGAACAGGGGGAGGAGCAGAGAGAGAGGGAGAAGCAGACTCTGCTCTGAGCGCAGAGCCAGACTCAGGGCTTGATCCCACATCCCTGAGATCATGACGTGAGTCAAAACCAAGAGTCAGATGCTCAACTGACTTAGCCACCCAGGCACCCCAAGATATATTTATTGAACACTTTCTATATGGCAGCAAAATAGAATGACTCTGAGTTTATTACTAAAACAGAAAATTACTAAAACCAAGTTAAGCAAACAAATATAATACTGTGTAGTAAGTACTGTGATGGAGGAAATACTGTACGCTGCAGGAGCACTTAGAGGGGTATTGAATTGAGTCTTGAGTGGTTGAGCAAGTTTTCAATGAGGAAGTATTATCTAATTTGGGACCCAAAAGAAAATTAGGTATTGGTGTGATGAATGGTAGAGAAAGAAGGTAAAATGCAAGTAATTTAGTGTGATTAGATTAGTGAGTATAGGACCTGGTGGTGATGTTGGTAGTTTTGAGAGCACAAGGGATGAATATCAGGAGGTAAGTAAAGTCAAATCAAGGTTTTGTTGAGGAGTTTGGACTTCGTTTTCTAGGCAGTGGGAATCTGTTAGAGTATTTTAAGTAGAGGAAGTACTTGATCAGATATAAATTTTAGAAAGATAATTAGTTGCCGACTGGAAAACCGATTGGAAAGGAAAGAGATTGAGAGCAGTAATACAAATGAGGGTCTAGACTAGGTTAATGGCAATGCTTTTTTTAAGTGAGTAGATGAACTGGAGATTTAGGAGCTGAATAATTAGGACTTGGTGATTGAATTTAGGAAAAAGAGAAGAGGATCAAGTAAAGCATGGTGCCTGGTTACTGACTGGACTGGATGATTGTGTAGATGATTCATTGATTTCTAAAATTGGGAATACCAGAGCGAGAGTGTTTTTTAATGAGAAGATGGTGATTTAGTTTTGGACATCTGAATTGTAGGTGCCTCTCTGACATCTTAACAGATGACTGGTAGGCAGTTGGGTATGCTACTTTTCTGCTGTGAGACATCATCATCTCTTGGCTGGATTACTGCCTTCTCCCTGGGCTCCGTGCTTTCACCTCTCTTTCATGCTCATTATGTTTCAGCCAAACCAGTCTCCTTTTAATACAAACCTTGTTCTCATTATAGGGCCTTTGCTCTAGGTACTTTCTCTTTCCAAGGTACCCTTCTACAAATGGCTGACCCCTTCTGGTCATTTAATCTTAGTTAAAATGTCAACTCTGCACAAAGTCATTCTTTAATCACTTCATCTAAAGTAGCCACCCACTCAGTTGGTTAAGCGCCTGCCTTTGGCTCAGGTCATGACCCATGGTCCTGGAATCTAGCCCCGTGTGGGGCTCTCTGCTCAGCAGGGAGTCTGTTTCTCCCTCTCCCTCTCCCTCTGCCCCTTGACCACTTGTGCATGCATGTGTGTGCTCTCTCTTTCTCTCTCTGTCTAAAATAAATAAATAGAACCTTTAAAAAATAAAATAAAGCAGGCACCCAGTCTTTAATATTAGCCTAATTTTAATTCTCTTTGTAAGTAGCAGTTAATACTGACTGATATTTTCAATATTTCTTTTATTTATTTCTCATCTCCTACTTGTTTCCAAAGCCCTATGAGAGCAGGAGCCTCAGTGCCTAGAGCAGTGGTTTACACATAGTAGGGGTTTAATAAATACTTGTAAATGAGTGAATGCAGAGTTCTAACTTGGGGAGAGATTTAGGAGTAGCTATTAGCTATACCCAGGAGACAACTAAGTCATGAGTGTGTTTGAGACAGTACAGGAAGGGAGTTCAGAGTGAGGAGATAAGATCTTCTAGTACAAAAATCCCCAATAAATAAGGGACAGGTGGAAGAGGAGAAGCCTGCAAAGGATACTTAAGAAGGAGCAGCCTGGAGAGGTAGGAGAAAAACCAAGGAGAATATGGTGTCAGAAGAAGAGAGTGTTTGAAGAATAATAAACATTTCAAGAC